TGGGGACAGGGACAGGTGAGGGGACAGCTGGGGACAGGGACATCTGGGACAGGGACAGACACACGGACAGCTCAGGGACATGGGAGAGACGGCTGGGGACATCTGGGGACAGGGACAGACAGGTCAGGGGACATCTGGGGACAGGTGAGGGACAGATGAGGGGATAGGTGAGGGGACATCTGGGGACAGGGACACATCAGGGGAGCTGGTGAGGGTCAGGGGACACACAGGGACATCTGGGGACAAGGACGGGGTCAGGGGACAGCTGGGGACAGCGGGGAGCTGGACATGCAGGGACAGGGACAGAAGACAGCCAGGGTCACACGGGGACAGTGGTGGGGACAGCGGGGGGTGACACACAGGGTGGCACTGAGAGGGACACAGCGACACACCGGGTGACACGAGGTGACACCAGGGACAGGGGGGGGATGCTGGAGGTGGCACCGGGTGACACTGAGGGCGGCAGGTGACGCTGGAGCGGTGGCACTGAGGGACGGGCAGTGACACCAGGGATGGACAGGGTGACAATGGGGACACAGAGGGTGGCACCAGGTGACACCAGGTGACCGAGGTCACGGGCGGGGCCGCCAGGTGCGACAACCCCCGCGCTGTCCCATTGGTTGTCACCGCCCCAGCGACACCGGGGATGGCCGGGGCGACACGAAGGGATGGAAGAGCACAGAGAAAAGGTGGGGAGGGGACACTTGGGGACAGCGAGGGTGGCACTAAGCGACATCACATCACAGCAGCACCCCCCAGACCCAGGGCCAGCACCGCCCCCACACCTGAGAGCGCTCCCAGCACCGAGGGCCCCGCGGGGATCCCGGGGGTCCCATCCCGGGCCGATCCCGCTCTCGGGGCCTCCTTCGAGGGGGGTCTCCATTAATCTGAGGGGAGGGTCCCATCCCTGAGGGTCCCACTCGGGGGGGGTTCCCCATCCCCGGGGGTCTCCGAGCGGGGGTCGCAGTCCCGGCCCGCGCTCCCCATCCTGAGGGTCCCCATGAGGGGAGGGGGGGGGGGGGGGCGCGGTTCTCCCCTCACGGTTCCTCCCCGCCCCTCTCAGGCCCGGCGCCGGTTCCCCTAAGGCGGGGCCGCACCCGCCCGCCCCAGGGCCACCTCCCCGCACCCGTCCAGCCCTGGGCAACACCCGAGGATCACCGGGCTCGCCCCCGGCCTCGCACCAATGTCGCTGTCCAGGCCCCGCCGCCGGGTCCCGCCCGCTCCGCTCGGCTCCTCCGCGACAAGATGGCGGCCGTGGCCGCTGCCACCCGCCGCCCCCTCCCTGCGCGCGCGGGGCCACGCCCCTCGCGCTCTCCCATTGGTCAGCTCCGCCCGGAGCCGCGCTCCTATTGGTTGTTGCCTCCCGCCACCGCCCGCCCCCTCCCTCCCCGCGTCACCCGACGCGAGGATTGGGCGGGCGCGCCCCGGCTGGCCACGCCCCTTTTCCTGCCGCAAGGTCCCGGATGAGGAAGGCCACGCCCCCTACGCGGCCTCGTGACAAGGCGCGCTGCGCGCCGCCCCGACGGCGGCCGAGAGGGGACACGGGACTGGAAAAGGCGGAGAGCGGGGGGACTATGATAGTGTACGGGGGGGTATGGGAGCTATGGGAACCCGTAGGGGGCTATAAGGACCTCGAGGGGGTTTGTGTGGGGCTATAGGGGCCGATTATGGGCCCGTAGGAGCGTTGAAAGAGCCCACAAGAAACCGCGGAAGACTTTACGTAGCGTCATGGTAAATTTCGCAACTCTACGTAAACGTATAGAAAAATATCAGCAAGAGCCTCTGAAATAACGCAAGAACCTATAGGAGTCTAAGGGGCCCACCCAGAGCCACAGGAGTCTGTGGGGATGCTACGCACAGGAGCGTGAGGAGGAGCTGAGGGGGCTACAGGGGCCCGAGGGGGGTCAATGGCAGCCCAGGAGGAGCGTGGGGCGCCTCGGGGCTCTATAGAGCCCTATAGGGGCTCACTGGCCGGTTTTGTGCGGTTTGAGTGGCCGCAGGGGGCCATGGGAGCCTATGGGGGCACATGGGAGGGGCCGTGGGGGACCAGGGCGCCATTTCCGCATGGTGTCGCTGTCTACTGACGTCACAGCGTCGCAAGGGCCGCTGGGACCTGTAGTCTCTTGTGCACGCTGAAGCGGCGGCGGGGGCCAGAGCGACACTTCCGCGTGGTGCCGCCGACCGGTGACGTCACCGAGCCGCGAGGTCCGCTGGGAGATGTAGTTTCTTGTTCCTCCCCGCCAAATAAAAGGCCGGAGAGTCAGAGAGGACCCAGAACTTTATTCACAAACCAACAGGGAGGTCCGGGGTCGCTCCGGGGGGACGGTTGAGGCTCCGGGGGGACAGTTGGGTTGGAGGTCCAGGGTCACTCCGGGGGGGGCAGGGGGAGGCGCTTGGGGTCGTAGTAGTTGGAGGTGAGCAAGGGCAGCCCCCGGCGCTCCCGCTCCCGTATCTGGATCTCAGCCTCGCGCCGGGCCCACTGCTGCAGCCTGCGGGGAGAGGGTCAGGGATGGGCAGGTGACCCCCCCACACACCTTGGGGATCTATGGGGACATCCCAAACCCCCTGCCAGGTGTCCAAATTCCTCCCTCCTCAAGAGCTCAGGTGTCCCTCTAGGTCTTCATAAGGCCCCCAGTGTCCACCCTAACCCCCATTACCCTCCTTTAGCCCCTCCACAGGGCTCTGTAACCCCCTAAAGCCTCTTCCAGGACCCCCATATATTCTCCCCCAGCCCTTCACGGGCTCCTATAGAAACCCCTAGAGCTGCCAAGGGCTCTACAGACCCCAAAACACCCCGAAAACAATTCGTGGAGACCCCCCTAAGCTGTACAGGGAGGGTCTTGTTGGCTCCTAAATTCCCTTCTCAACTCTCAAGAGACCCTACAACACCCCCAGACCCTCCAAAAACCCCCTGTAGACCCCAAAAACGTAACTGAGAGCCCCTCCGTAGGATCCCCACAAGCTCCCCTTGGGCTGGGCCCCTCCCCCCTTTTACCCTGGGGGGGGTTTCCCAGGTGAGCCCCTCCCCCTCACACACCCGTAGTCGGGCAGGTAATGCACAAAGACGGAGCCGAGGACGATGGCGACGGAGATCCCGGCCAGGAAGGCGGCGCGCATGTTCAGCACGTCGGCGTCGGGGTCGGCAGAGAAGCCATGATAGTCGGGGTTCTGTGTGGTGGGGAGGGGTCTGCTGAACCCCCTGCCCCACCCATGGATCCCCAGGTGTGTCCCACCCCCCTCCTCAGGGCTTCTGGAGCACCCTGAGGAGCCACCTGAGCCTCAATGCCAGGTGTGTCCCAATCAGAGAAATGGCCACGCCTTTTCTGGGCCACGTCCATTTCTGAGCCGCACCTGGTGCCCAGGTGTGTCCCCCTCCCCCAGTTCAGCACAGGCCACGCCCCTCCAGCCCCCGCCCCAAATTAGGCCACGCCCACCTTTGAGGCTCATCAAAGTCCCGCCCACATCCTATAAACCACGCCCCTTCCATTCACTTCCATTAAACCCCACCCACTAAAGCTCCCGCCCCCAGACCACGCCCATTGACCCCACACGCCCCGCCCCGCTTTTCCCGCGATGTCCTTGGCCGCCCACCTTCCTCTGCGCCACCAACATCGGCTCCTCCTCGTGCGCGTCCACTCCGAGAGGCCTCGGCAGCGCCACGGCCCCGGGGGACCCCGCCGAGCGGCCCCGAGCCCCGGCGGGCAGCGCCCTCAGCGCCCGCAGCGCCCGCCACAGCGCCGCCATCTTGCCCCGCCGCTTCGCCTCGCCTCTTCCGGTCAATGCGGCCAATCACGACCTCGCATTGGTGTTTTGTTCCGCCCCTGCGCCGCGTAGCCAATCACAGAGCTGCGTTTGCTTTGTCCCGCCCACTCCCTCACATAGCCACGCCCTCTTTGGCGCCTCAACCAATCATAGCCAGCCGTAACGCCGCACCGCCCCTTTTACAGCATGGACCAATAGAAACGTGGGATCTTTTGAATGGCGGGAGCCTCCACCAATGAGAGCGCGACGGGGGCGGGCAGGAGAGACGGGCCCGGCTGAGCGGGAGCGGCGCCGCCATTTTGGTGCTCAGGAGCGGCGGCGGCGGCGGCGGCGGCGGCGCCCGGGAAGGTCGGAACGTCCGTGAGGGGAGGGATGGGCCTGGCCGGGATGGGGAGGGGTCTGTGG